CAAGTTGGCCTGGAACTCAGTAGGTAGTCCAGACTGACCTCAAAGTCTTCTTCCTCAATCTTGGGAGTGCTTGGATTATAAGCATGTGCTACCACACTCAACTTCCACTACTTTATCCTAGTTTTAAGATAGGTAGCCAGACCAGTGAGAATTATTTTGAAATTTCACATAACTCATAGGTCACATGTTATTTCTTTTTGTAGAGACATGGATTTATACTGCCCAGGCTGGCTGTAAGCTCCTAGGCTCAAATGATCCTTCTGCCTCACCTTCCTGATGAGCTTGGATTGCAAATGCTTGCCAACACATCTGATTCACATATGTGACATGCTAAAGAATATGTCCTTTATTCTGGAGGCTGATACAGGAGGCTCATGAGTCTGAAGCTGTCCTCGGTTTCATAGTGAGCTCCAGGGCAGCATGGGTTACATATGGAGACCCTGTGTCATCAACAGAGTATTTCCTAGAGGAAAAAGCTTTGAAATTGGAGCCCATCTAATGGGGGCATGCAGTTACCCGCAAAGCTGCCCCTGTGGTAGGGCTCAACCTCTTGCCTGCTTGCAACTCACATGTAGATTAAGAGAGTCTTTCAGGGTAACTAAGAGTCCCATGAATGTATAGGAGTAAACATACGTACTCAGGGAAAACTGCCCAGTGCTATTGGATGCTGGCCACAGAGTGAAGCTTGTTTCCTTAAGAACTGGGCACGCTGAGCTGGGTAAATTATATGAACCCTTTGGGTTTCAGTGTCTTCATGTATACAATGGGACATGTGTACTCATATGTTTGCTGAGACAACCTAAGCCCATTTATGTAACATGCCTGGCACACAGTAGGAACTCTGTGGAGATTTTGTTTTTCCATGTCTGCTTTCTTCCTCAGCACAAAGCTGGACCTAAGATGCAAACTCCAAATATGAAAAGTCAGGCATAGATAGGTTACATGATCGCGCCACAGTTCACTGCATAGGTCCTTGCAAACAGAGATCTATAAATATTCCAACTAACTAAATCCTGTGTGAAATCTTTCTGAGGTCTGATGGGGGCAGATGAAAGGGGGTATTTAGCATTCTGCTTTATCATTGGTAGGTTTCTAGCTAAGTTAATTACTATGTTTATAATGACAGCTTGTAGAAACCCAGACTATGATGAGGAATGATGGCAAAGGACAAGCTCATGCTCTGAAGGCCTCTGACTATATCCTCTTGTGCTCTCTGATTCTGACACATATCTTGCCACTTGGAATGTATAGGGACCCTGTGGGTCAAGGAGGAAATGGTTAATACTGCTTTTTATCTGGTTTGGGTATTGGGGATCTATGCTTTCTACCACTGAATTATGTCTCCAGCCCTCCTGCTTTTGAAAAATACCACATTAAAAAGTTTTGTGGATAATGTAGCCTATTCACCAATTTATCCACTAATTTGAAGGGTAAATGTAAAAATGCAGCTCTCCATTCTCCAAAAACATTTTGGGTATAAACCTTTTTTGTTAGAAGAAAAAACGAAAATGACTTGAGTTCTGTTTAATAAAGATTAGCTACTTTAAAAAACATAACTTTTTTATTTAAAAAAATATTATTTTCACTTTATGTGTATGAATGTATTGTCTGCATGTATGTGAGTGCAGCTGTGTTGTATGTGAGTGCACCCATGTTGTGCAATGCCGCAGAGGTCAGAAGAGGGTCTTGGAGTCCCCTGGAACTGGAGTTAAGGACGATTCATAGCCACCATGTGGGTGCTGGGAATCAAACCCAGGTCCTCTGCAAGAGCAGTCAGTGCTCTCAATTGCTGAGCCATCTCTCCAGCCCCAAAACATACCTTTTTTAAAAAAATGTATATTAATTATGCAAAATATGGAACTTTAAACATTCTTTTTTCAGTATTGGGGACTGACCCCAAGGCAGTGCACTTGCTCAGAAAAGACTCCCCCAGAGACCGACACTCCAGCCCCATGATGACATTTTCATACAGACTAGCTATTGATTAAGCCCGACACTAATGTGCGGAGAGAACCTGAAGTTGTTTTTCCCATTGACTCGCTATAGACAAAACAAATGCAGAACTACTTTAGACTTCACCAGTCTTCTCTCAGAGAAAATAAATGTCAGATCTGATTAACGGCACAGACAGTAGTAGCTCTTGCATCCTTGGATGTAGAAGCTCCTAGACCACCCTCTCAGCTTGTCCTCCTGTTTCCTGAGTAATGAAGTGGAACACTCAAGGAGCAAGAAGCCGTAGACACCAAATACATCTCTGGCTTCCCAAGGGGGACCAAAGACATTGACAAATGTATTCTAACTTTGGGAGTCCCTGGCAAGTTGTGAGTTCTCAGGAAAAAAGAGCTGCTACCACCTGTAGTATCCACGGGCACAATGTTATAGTAAACTGTCTCCCAGACAAGCACAAGTCTGATATAACTGGGACAACAACTTTCTATCAAAAAGTGGTTTTTATTATATGTATTTACATATTTATTTATTATTGTGTGTGTTTATAGTGTCTAGTCATGTGTGTGCCATGGCACATTTTTCATTTATTTATTTATTTTGTGTGTGTGTAGTGTATGGGCATGTGTGTACCATGGCACAGGTGTGGAGGTCAGAGGACGCCTTTGTAGAGTTGGTTCTCTCCTTCTACATTTACGTGGGTCCCAGGGATTGAACTCAGGTTATCTGGCTTGAGTGACAAGAGCTTTGCTATCTCACGGTGACCCTGTCACAAGGTTTTGGTATTTTCATAAGATGTTTGAGAAACAGAAATCTAGGTTTGATGAGAGTAAGGACAGATGTGTTCAACTATAAACTCCCAAGAATGTCCATGAAAGATTTAGGAGGCTGGGTGAGCATCTCTGTCAGCAGCCATACATCTTGGTCCAATCCCTTTAGCATATTCATTAATGTCAATACATAGCAGCCTCATAGTCACATGCTGCAAAGCCGGGAGCAATACCTAACATGAAGACTATTAAAAAAAATCTCAGCATAATGTTTAGTCAGGTGACCACAAATTTGTACCTAAGCTTAAGAAAGAAACTGAATAGGAGTAACCCTTTCAAGTGACAGAGGGGCAACTTGACATGAGTTTATAATGGGCTTGAAATGTTAAGGAAGCTGGTTGTGGTGGTATGCCCTTGGATCCAGAACTGGAGGCCAGCAGCTTGATTGCACAGTAAGTCCATTGCCAGCATGGACTACAGAGTAAGACCCTGTGACAAAATTTAAAAAAAAAAAAAGGTAACAAGGATTTTGGTGACTATATATACTCATAATGGAATAATGGAAACACTGAAATCACTATCTCTGTTGTGTGGTGCATCTGGTCTGTCTGAAGAAACTCCTACCAGAGTTGAGATTCCCCATCCAAGCCTCACAGTGGCAGAGCCCCAACACGCTCTTGGTCCAGTGCATTCCTGGATTGTCCTTGCTGTTAACTTCCAGTATCATCATCTGCTAAAAGTACCCAGATGGAGCTACTTTGGGGAAACCAGTGCTCACAACATCCAGCTACATACATAAATAGCAATAACCCCCCACCTCCGCAAAATATGAAAATGCCTATCAATGTAGACATTTCTATGGCAGGTTAGTTTTTTTGAACTGGAAAAGGAGCAAAGTACTTGGTCATGGTGGCTCACATTTGTAATCCCAACAATTGGGAGGTGAAAAGGATTGATTAAACAAAGGTGCTCAAAGTCACCTGTGGGTCAAACCAGGTCTATTAAAACGGGGGAGCTAGGCATAGTGGCATATGCCTTTAATCGCAGCACTGGGGTGGCAGAGGTAGGTGAATCTCTATGAGCTTGAGGCCAGCCTGGTCTACATAAGTGAGTTCCAGGCTAGCTGGTACTATAGGGGAGTTTCAAAAATTCAAAGAAAGGGGGGGGGAGGATAAACTTTCATTAACTGGAAATAACCACTTATTTGCAGGGAATGTAAACACGGGATTGACATTAAGAATTTATGGCAGAAGTCTAGGAACGTATTGGGCAGTGATGGAATCGACGAAAGGCTTCCTGAGCTCCGACAGTAGGAAGAGCCAAGACGATTTTATTTATGCCCTACAAGAGGGCATTTGTAGGAGGGTAGGAAGGCCCTAAACTAAACAGGTCCTGCGTCTTTCTGTTGCCAGGAGCATCATCCATAGAGCCAGGGCTCGGGGACGAACACGTGAGTGGGTCCGCATCAGGGTCGGGACCGCGTCCTGGGTGCGCAGAGGGCAGCTGGTTCCAGAATCCCGGGGCTGGAGCAAAGCTCCAGTCACAAAGCGCTGTAGACACGCCAGGACTCCACCCTCACCTGTGCGGCCGCCGGCAGCCCGCGGTACCCGGGAACAAAGGCGGAGGAGCCTGGCGGGCTGCGCTCCCAGACTAAAGCTGCGGGGACAGTGGCCAAGACCACGGTCGCCGGCCCCCGCCCAATCCTGTGTGGGCACTTCCGCCACCTCACCTGTTGCGCCCAGCCAATGAGGCGGCACCTGATTTTCCCAGAGACTCACAGTGCCGCCAGAGCTTGGCCGGAGGGATCGCACGACCTTGGGCCGGACTGCGCCCAGTAACCGCAGGTTTAGCTGGTCTCCTAGCGCGCTCCTCGCGGCCCATTCGCATGGTTAGCGCAAAACCCCCGAGTGCGCGCTGCTGCCCAGGAGGGCTCTGGGGATCGCGGGTGTCCCGCCCCCTTCACCCTTAGGGCGGGGGGGGGGGCTGGAGCCCCCGAACGCCCCGCCCCCAGGTCCAGTAGCCAGTCTGCCCCGCCCCCTTCGATGGCCCTCCCGCCCCCCGCCCCTGGAGCATGCCTGTCCCGCCCCGCCCCACGCCGCGCGGCTCTGCGCGCTCCAGGTCTGGCGGGCACTCTCCAAGTTGCAAAGCAAGTTTAGAGGTGGCCGGCGGCGACGTTGGCGGTGGCCCGGACGCCGGGAGGCTCCCTCGCTGTGGGCCGGGTGGTAGTCCCCGGCGTGCATGGGCACGGGCCTTAGCTGCCCAGGGCGCTGATCGCCCCGCGCCATGGAGGGCGCCGAGCCCCGCGCGCGGCTGGAGCGCCTGGCCGAAACCGAAGCGCGGGCGGCGGACGGCTGCCGGCTGGTGGAGGTGCAGCTGAACGGCGGCGCACCCTGGGGCTTCACCCTGAAGGGCGGCCGCGAGCATGGCGAGCCTCTGGTCATCACCAAGGTAAGGCTGGCGTGGGGCCCGCCCGGTGACAGCCCGGAGGTCGCCGGGACCCTGGGGCTTGTCAGGGATTGGGGGCGTGGGATGGGGCGTCCGCTTCGCCGCCTCTCCTTCGGGGGACGCGTATCCCGGAGTCACCTGTGGGTACTGTGTCCTGCTCTGGCCTAGATCTGCGGTTCCGGCTCCACCTTGGACGCTCACCCTCCTTCTTCCCTCCCCGCGATGGCTCCCCGCGGGTGCTGGGAGTTTCAATGGCTTCTGTTCCGGGTCTCCTTCCCCTCCCTCTCTGGGAAAGGGCCTGGCAGTCTGCTGGTACTTCTGGCCTCTCCAGCGCCTCACCTCCACCTGTGAGGCGGTCTAGAGGTGAGGACAGGAACATTCCCAGGACCTAGTGGCGGACACAGCCTTCCCCGCCAGTGCTTGCCTGTCTAGGGCCCTTGGTTGTCACCCTTTTGATCTGCACTGGTCGTCAGTCAGAAACCCATGCAAGCAGCTGCCGCCAGTAGCTTCACGATTCCCATTAGCGTATCAGTATTTGCTGACTTTCGGCTTCCTGCTCTACTTCCACGCTCTGGATACTCACCAAAGCAGAAACTTTTCAGTGTCCTTATAAAACAGAATTTGAGTTCCGAAAGTAAGGAAATAACTGACACGTGTCACCTGCGATTGTGTGTGTGTGTGTGTGTGTGTGTGTGTGTGTGTGTGTGTGTGTGTATGTGTGTAGGTTGCTTTAGCCTTGAATTCTCTTTAAACGAAATCCATCTTGAAACTTAAAGGGAATGTGCATAAACCTGTAGAAACAAGCCACAGACCAATCACTCAGGTCTTCTAGCTTAAAAGGGACTAGGGGCTTGCCTGTTTTCTAGACTGAGGTGAGCCGTACTACCCCTAAGGGCAAAGTCTCCTTTAAAGTGTAAATATTTCTGGCTGCTAGAAGCATTTGAAGGTTCCTAACTTTATTCCTCAACTTCCCTCCCTCACTCTAGCAGGAAGAAATTAAGTGACCTTAACTCACCCCTCTGGTCCTGAATTTGGAAAGTGGGATGGAATTGTTGTTCCAACAGCAAATAATACCCCTGTTTCTGTCTGTCTCTGTGCTGTGTGTTAGAAATGTAATGAAAACTTTACCATTCAGAAAAGTGGTTAGCACTATTAGAAATGTGACAGACGTGTAATTCTTTATCAAACATGATTCTTTTTCTTTAATTGTGTCATTCTGGGGAATCAAACCCAAAGGGTTGCACATGCTAGGTGAGTGCTGTAGCACAGAGCAAAGTACCCAATCTTAGCCTGCTCCCCCCCCCCCCGCCCTTTTTTGGTGATGGAATTGAACTCAGCCTTGCCCATGCTAGGCAGGTGCTCTTCCAGCACCGAGCCATATCCACAGCCCCATTGAAAAACTTTTGAGAAAAAAAGCCTTACTAAGTTTCTCAGGCTGATCTTAAACTTGCAGTTCTGCCTCAGTCACCTGAGTGCTAGTGTCCTAGGTGTGCACTAACTACCATGACAGGCTAGTCTGTGCCTTTAAATAAAGGTCTTAGAGGTCTTTCTGATGTACTTTAAAAGATAATCAGGTAAATCTTTCTGACCCTTAATATTTCATGTTTTTTTTTCTTTTTCCCCTTATTTTTCTCTGAGACGGTCTCTTGATATGTTCTTGATACTAGCCTAGAACTCTCCATCCTCCTACCTAAGTCTTCCAAGTTCAGGGATTACAGGCATTTGTCAACACATCTGGCAGGTATTTCTTGCTATTTTGAGACAGCCTCTCATGTATCTCAAGCAGCAGGTCTCAAAGTCTCTATGTAGGTCAGAGATGACCTTGAGCTCCTGATCCTTCTGCCTCTACTTCCCCAATGTTGAGATTACAGGCATGCATCACCACATCTATTTTTTAAACGGTATGTCGTTCTTTTAATTTTTTTTTGATGTTTTTCTATTTCATGTGTATGAGTGTCTTGCCTGCGTGAAGTAAGTACACTCATGCATGCAAGTGCCCACAGACGCTAGAAGAGGGCATCAGATCCCCTGCTGTTACACATGGTGTTAGCTGCCTTGTGGGTGCTGGGAACTGAACCCTGGTCCTCCACAAGAGTAGCTAGTGCTTTTAACCACTGAGCCATCTCTCCAGTCCTGACATGGAGTTCTTAACAACAACAAAACAGGCTTCCATACTTCTTCCTCAGACTTGTCTACATAGCAGATGGAATAAGCTGTACATGATTTAATATGAAGTTTTATGTTTTCTTTTTTCCCAGTTAAGAAAGTTGGAAGTTACATTTACAATAAATTACAGTTGTTTCACAAACTGGTGAGTTTTGCCAGAGATATTTCCCTCTTCCTTTGTATAGGTTGTTCCAGTTCTACAAACTGCGAGTGCTTGGTGGCCTCCTGCTTCTCCATGTGCTTTCTAGAAATTGAAATAGGTGTTGGTTATATCCAATTATGCTAAGTTCTGCTACTGAGCTATATATTCTCAGCCCCGGATAATATTTATACACAGTTATGATGATGTTTAGGATGGATGGAACTTGGAACAGTTTGGGGCTTTTGTATTTTTACGCATATATTGACATACATGAGCTGTTGTTCCTTTGTTTATGCACATGCATTGTACTTTCTCCACATGTTCTACTGAGTAGTATCAGTGGTGTATCAAATACCTGATGGCTCTCTTAGATTATCAATGCATGGGGCTGCCAAGATGGCTCAGCCTATAAAGGCACCTGCCGGCAAGCTTGATGATCTGATTTCAGTCCCAGGAATCCACATTATGGAAGGAAAGAATCGATTCCCAAACGTTGTCCTCTGATCTCCACATGAGTGCTATGGTACATATATACACACATTAAATAAATGTAAAACTAACAGCAAAAAGGTTAACAGTGGTGCTTGTTTGCAACCTGACAACTGGTAATTAATTGTCACAGTACTTAAAAACTGACTAAGGAAAATGTGTGTTTATGGCCACTTAAAAGGTAGAAATAGGCTATTCTGAAAGGTGCTGGCAAAATAATTTTTCAACCAGAATTCACTAAATTCAAACTTTGAATCTTCTAGTAGCTACTGAAAAGTCATTGGGCATTATTAAGTAATAATTTTTCTAGCAGTTCTTCTGCATTTAGAAATCAATGTAATAGTTATATATTGGATCCTTGGTATATTGTGTAGTTAATTTTTTGTTGAGCTGATACTGATTTGAGAGTAGTTTAATCCAATATAAGAGGTCATGTTCTTTTGATAGTAGTGTGACTGTCATTAACACTTTCATATGAGCACATATCTTAGTACTTACTGGGAGGGGCTGGAGATGTAGCTCATTTGGAACGCTTGCCTAGCCTGCACAGGTCCCTGAGTCCAATCTTCAACATCACAGAACAAAACCGAAGGAAGAGGGGCTGGAGAGATGGCTCAGTAGTTCACAGCACTGGCTGCTCTTGCAGAGGATTCAGGTTTGGATGTCAGCTCCTATATGGTGCCTAATGCCTGTCCTTAACTCCAGTTCCAGGGGATCTGACACCCTCTCCTGGCCTTCATGGGCCCTAGGCATGCATGGATACATGCAGGCAAAGCACTTACATGCATAAAATAAAAACAAAATCTCTACAAAAACAAAACGAAGCAAAACAACCCAAGAAGCAGGCTGAGTTAATACTGATCTTGGAATTGAGAGCTTTCATTAGGTCATTGTGTGGATGAAACAGCTATGTCCTAGAGAGACTAAAAGGTCTACTTTCAGGTCACAAACCTGTTAAGTCCCAGGAAGGGCCTTGAAAGTCAGACCCCTGACTCCAAATATCCACCTTTACTTTCTGTGCAGTCGATGCCATGGGCTTGTGTATGAACTCTCTTGCAGTGTTATTTATCTATCCTGAGTAACTCACTGACATCTGCTAGGTGGCAGTTTATCAATCTGGGCACCATTGACGGTCTGTAGTGGGGTCTGTTCGGCTGCTTCAGCTGCTTCTTTGGCTTCTACTTTTACCTGTGTCCAGGTGTGACAATTTGAATGTTCCCAGACATTGCCAATGCCCCCCTCCCCCATCTAACTCACTATATATTAGGCTTATGATGTTCCACCTTTGCTCTGAAAGGTTTTTGGCTTTCATTGTGTTTTGTCCTGAACTTTGGAGACAGGGTCTCTCTGTAGCCCCAGCTTACCTGGAACTCACTTATGTAGACCAGGCTAGCCTCATCTCACAGATATCCCCTTGCCTCTGCCTGCCTCTCGTGTGCTGGGACTAAAGACATGTGCCACCACACCCAACTTACTGTATTCTTTCTGAAGACTGGCCTTTAGAGTGGTGCGTTTGGAGTTCCTTGGCATTTCCAGTGTTTTCATGTGGGACTGTTTTTCTTTTGGAGCTGAGCTATTGGCCCTGAGGAAAGACATTATTTACACAGTAAAGTGCAAACAAATACTTGCTTCATCTGCATTTTTGTAGCTGGAGAAAGGATATTTCCCCTGTGCTGTGCTTCATGAGCAATTAGAGTAGCTGCTAAGTATGGTCTGCCTTTTCTCTGTGTCTGGTTTGAAGTTAAAGGACATTAACTTCCCAGGAGACTTGCATTCATAGAATTTCGGCTGCATGCCTGAAACTCCCCAAGACCTCTGCTGAAAGATGGCACTGGGGTCATAACTGCCGGGTATATTTACACTGATGTGCAGCTTGGAATCTTGTTACATTAACAAACAACCAAACGGCGCATGTGCACAGGCAGGCGTGCGCACGTGCGCTCGCGCGCGCACACACACTCAAAAAGAATAAAAAACTAAAACCCATTTTCTCATCCTGTTGCAGAAAGAACAGGAATAACCTGTAAGTTCTAAGAGATGGCACGACTTGATAGTATCTTTGAGAGCACACATGAGTGCAGGAACTCTCAGGGCCCTGAAATATTACACAGTTATTTTTCTATTTAGCTGGTCTGATTTGCAGACAGGTTGAGCTGCTGTGGCCTGCTGGGTTTTTGTTTTCTTTTCTTCCTCCCTCTTTTGCTAT